CATGATATAGTTTCCCCAATCTTAAGAGATGGTACCACTTTCCAGTCCACCCAGCATATGAAAAATACAAACCATGATTTTGAGAGGATGAATTGTTACTCAAAAGTGGGTAATTATTATATATATGTATGTATAAAAATATAAAATTATAATATGCATTACACATATAAACATATAAACAATTATGCATATATATTCTGATTGTTGGTAAGTTACAAAGAGAGACATGGCAAGAATTATTCATTGGGTGAAGGGTGATAATTTTGACTGAGAACATGGCATCCCAGAGACAATTCGATACAGATCTTTATGAGCAGATGCAACTCTTAAAAAAAGGAGATGGAAAAACAAAACAAAGCAAAAATGTGTGCGAAAGGATCAGAAAGGCAAACTGCTATCATGCAAATCTTTTTCAGATTTCTCAATATTTCATTTGGCATTAGGCTACTTTAATTCCCAAGAACCAGGGTCCTTGTATGCTCTGTTACAAGTTGCAGTGCTTTCTCTGCTGGTACTTACATAAAACACCATCGATAACCTTAGAACACCCACCATCAACGCCATAAACCCACTTTCAAGTGTCTTGGGGAATTCAAAGGAAAAACCACCAAATGAAGAAACCGCTTTAAAATGAGAAACAGATGTACTTTTAAATACTTAAAAAAATCATTTTTGAAACTGAAGTGCTGTGTTCTTGGCCCCCTGAGAGCCCTTCTCAAATGCTGTTTATCTTTCAGGAGCTTCCGTTTACAGAGAGGTTAGTGATGGTGGTTGGGAGACTCTAAAATATGGGCTGATTTTCAAATACGAAGGTGATAAATGAACAGATTTTCCCCCAGATTGCTGAGTAAACATCAGCAGAGCAAACTAATGTAAAGATATAATCATGATTAATCTCTTGATTAAAATAATTAATCTTGGTTAATTCTGCATTTAATCATTTCTTTTTATCAATGTCTAACATGCAGCTATATAGGAATATTCATTTAGACTAATAGATATTTCATTCCTCCAATTAGTCTGTTTATTCTGAGCTTCTAAATGCCTCACATCCCAGCTCTTTCATTTACAGCAAACTTCAGTCCTATTATTATGGTTCTTTTCTTTTCATGCCCAAGAAACCCCTACGATGTTTGACTGGGGACAAAAAGAGGGGTACCTGGGTGAATGTGCAGTGGACCCCAAGGCTTCAGGGCTTGAAGGAGGCTGTGTGGATGATCTTTATCAAACATTTGCTTCAGGATCCAGAGTTTTACTTTCTGGGCTCTAATTTCTTTGTCATCAGAATTATGTCATGTGTTTTCTGGGACGCAGCAGTTCATTCTTTCATGGCTAACCTCTGACTTAATTCCAGCTAAGATAAGAATTTGCTTTTGGAATGGGATCAAAACGGGGGGGGGGGAGGGGAGGGAAATGCACGGGATTATGGCGATGGCACACGGGTGATTTGGTGATGGGAAACCCGTAGGGATTACAATCAAGATGGAAAAAAAATGTACAAAATTATGTAAAAATAATCTTTTGTAATAAAAAAAACTACACATAAAAAAAATAAGAGGAATTAGACAAGAAAAGAATATAAAAGATAGCCAAAGAAGAAAGGAAGAATTAAACCTACCATTATTTACAGATGACACAGTTATATACATAGAAAATCCCAAAGATTACAGCAAAAGGCCAGTGGAAAATACAGTAAAATATCAGGCTAAAAATTAATATGTAAACATTTGTTGCATTTCTATAAACAAACAATGAACTGGGAGAAAAAGAAATCAGGGGAAAGATCCCATTTATAGATGCATTAAAAAAAAAAACTTGAAATAAATTTAACCAAAGAGGCAAAAGACCTTTATACTGCAAACTATAAGACATTATTGAAAGAAACAAAGTTAGTTGACTACATATACAGCTATTAATATTTGTAGCCAAGAAAACTCAATGGACAAAAGACAGTTTTCTATAAACAGTGCTAGGAAAACTGCCACAGGCAGGAATGAAACTTGACAGCTGTCTTTCACCAAACACTGAAAGTCAACTGAAATAGATCAAAGGTTTAATGTAAAACCTGAAGCCATAAAGCTCCTACAAGCAAGAGTACCAGTTATCACTTCTTGCAGTGAGCTTCTTGACATCAGTCTTGGCAATGTTTTTTTAAATTTGGTACCAAAAGCAAAGACAACAAAAGAAAAGAAATATAAACAAGCCATGCTACATCAGCCAAAAGGCCTCTGCATAGCAAAGAAAACCATCAACAAAACAAAAAGCCAGCCCACTAAGTGAGAAAAAGATTGCAAGTCATATATCTGATTAAGGGGCTAATATATCCAATATATATAAAAACATCTCCTACAACTCAATGGCAAATAAAAAATCCAATTTAAAAATGTGGAGGGATCTGAATAGATATTATTCTAAAGAAGACACAGAGGGCCAAAAGGTGCTCAACATCAGTAATCATCCAGGAACTAGAAATCAAAACCACAATTTCATCTACATGAATATTATCTAGCCCTAATGAAGAAAGAAATCTTCATTTCTGAGGGAACTGTGCTAAGTGAAATGAATCAGAAAGAGGAAAACTAATATTCTATGATATAACTTAAATGTGAAATCTAAAACAAGCAAACAAATCTGACTGGTGATTGCCAGAAGCAGGGGTGGCAGGTGTATTGAATGGGTGAAGGTAATACAAAGATATAAACTTGACACAATGTTCTGTATGGTGCTATAGTTAATACTGTATTGCTTATTTGTAGGTGGGGCTAAGAGTAAATCTTTAGTTCTTGTCAAACACAAGAAAATTTGTGACTGTGTGATAATTATGCATGTGTGATGCATGCATGTTTGATGTGTGATGTTAACTAGACCTGAAGCAGTGATCATTCTACAGTAGATACAAATATTAATTATACAGTACATGTGAAACTAATATAATGTTATATGTCCATAATGAGATTTTTTTTAAACTTGTGGGAAATTTTAAAGATATGAAACATTTTTGTATTTCAGGTGCTGTGGTGTAATTTAGAACTGATAATCTGCAGAAAAAATTTACTAAGGATCCCACATAACAAAGGGAGAATAAGCTAGCTTTGAAACTTACTAAATTAAAACAAAAAGAAATTTCATCTACAAACATGATTTTAAAAAAAACTTTAAAAAGTCAGAACATTTGGCCAACAACAGGCTTAAAAGAGAGACTCTCATATACCTCAACTGTGGATGGAAATTGCTAGTTTTTGAGAAAGAGTTTTGATAACAGCCATAATGCTTTTTAAGAGTGTTTATTTTTCTTGACTCAGCAATGTCATTTGTGAGAATCTATTCTAAGAACACAAGTCAAAATACAAAGATTTCTCTGCACTTCTACTTTATAAAAACAAGAAAAATGGAAAAACTCATAATGCCTAACAATAAAAAGTGGTAAAGTATATTACAGCATCTTCATGTCAAGAAATATTTTGAAACTATGTTATGATATTAAGAGTTTTAAAAATTCATCAAAACATCTGTGATTATTTAAACTGAAATGAAAAGCAAAATTATTATACACACATATATATACACATACATATAAAATGAACATAATATAAAAATAAGCATAGAACAAAAGGCTGGGAAATAAGTGATTATTCCTCAAGAATAAGATTGAGCAGACTTTATAAATTTCTAATTTTCTGCATTTTTAGATTTAAAATAATAAATCATACTATACTTATATAAAATGAAAAATAAATGGTGTTCCACTTTTTTTAAAGCCTCACACTGAAAATACCCATTTCTCCTCCAAATATCAAATAACGGGTAAGATGTGCAGCTGGCAGGCCAGAGAAACTGCAAGGGCCAGGACCAGAAAGGGTGCTGAGCAGGGACCCCCATGTCTATATTTAGAGTCCTAGGAAGTGCCCTAGGGACTGAGGAGGAGGCGATGAGTTGGCAATGAACATCAGGGTTCCTGACAGAGATCGTGAAGACCAACTAGCGTAGGCACCAGTAACCCAAAAAGACTGAGGAACATGTCAGCCAGAAGAATTAGGGACTTTGGAAGCACAGAGAAAGCTTCCCCCACTGAGCCAGAATTGATCTGAGAGTAAGCACAGGTGAGAAGAAAATGCCATAGGTGAAAGAGTCTCATTAGCAGGCCCCACGGTAGGCTTCCTACCCACCAGCTGGGGAAAGGCCAATTTTGTCTAGACTCGCTACTATGCCATAAATCTTTTCACCTGAGCCAGATTCCAGGTGGCCATCAGGAAGGAAAAAAAAGTCTGAAAATACAGAAAGTGAAACTTACCAGTCAAAGCCCACAAATTCATTTGCAGATTCTAGCCACACAAACAGCAAAAGCACAGATAAGCCAGCCGAAAAAATCAGAAATAAGCAAAATATCTGTTCCCTCTAGAAAAAGAAAGAAGGGAATTTAATTTAGCTCCATCTACCCATTACACTTAGCAATATCTGTACATACTTGCCAAGGGTCTGCACAGATGCAGTATCACACATTACCCTTCCCAGGCTGCATTCTTTTTACCCTTTGGAATTTTGCATATGTCTATTTATAATATTCATTATACTGAACTGCAATGATATGTTTATATGTTTATATCTGTTGCTACAGTTCTTTGAGGACAAGGAATTTCTGCTGACACATCTCAGTATTGCCAATATCAAGCAAGTTCTTTAAATGGAGCTGGCTTGCAACAATAATCAGTTGAATTCATCCACAATTCCATCTAACAAATGTTTGATGATTCATTCATTAAGTCATTCATTTATTTATTAGTTCAGTTAGTCATTTACCTACCAACATCTGAAAGGAGGGATATGTAAAAGAATAAACCTTTTGTTCTGTTGTTTTGAGGACAATGCTAGAAATCTGTCAAGCCACTTTCATTTATTTTGCAATATAACCATATAAGTTCGGTATTGTTAACATCATTTTGCAGAACTAAACCTCAGAGAGGTAGAACAAGTGACTTAAGATCACACAGCCAAATAGCAGGGCCACTGCCCAATTAGCATAAAAACAAGATATATCTTTATATATGAGGTTTTCCAGCTGTCCCCTTACACTGAAATTTCTATCACAAATCACCCATGTCAGTCGCCAAATCCTGCCTGGGAACATTAACTCAGGGTTGCTACCTGAGTTATTAATCCTAATTATTTCTGCATCACGTGTAAGAAATTTTGCCTCTTTGGGCAATTGTAAATCTTTTTAAAAGGAACAGACTAATCCCTGCCTTGTCTAAATCATGGTGCGTATCATGAAGAGCAAGAATAAGGAAAATAAAATGGAAAACATAGAAAGAACGTTTCAGAAAGAGGCATTCCAGCCACCAGAGCACTACACTACCACTTCCTGAGTCTGGGAAGACGAAGAGCACAGGATTTAGCTCAGGTCTTAGTGTCCACACAAAATTTGTATATGAAGTATTTGTATATACTTTCTTTTAAAAAAAGTATCAGACATGACCACTCCTTGATTAAACCCCCCCTAGGCCCTCCTATTATATGGCGCTATCACCCAAACTGCCTGCCATGGCCAAAGTCCGCTTTGACCAACAAGTTGCTCTACACTCTGACTGCATTTCTACATTCAAGACACACCAGCCTTCTTTCTGTTTCTAGAGCATGACCAAATTTGTTCCCTAATATGCTTTTGTCCTCATTTGTATACCCGGCTCATGGCAACTCTTTATTTAGGAGACAGTTCACGTGATAAGTTTCCTATTCCAGTTTCTGACACATTTTCCATTTATTATATTCAAAACTCTTATCATAGTAGGAAATAATATTTACTCATTATTATTATTATATGAGTTACTACCTAACTCATGCCACTAGAATATAACCTGTTGGAGGGCCAGAGGTTTCAGTTGTCTTATTCACTGTGGCCCACAGTAACTAGTGTTCCATAGCCTTGTTTTTGTTGAATAAATCCATTTCTTCATACTGACTCTCAAGCTCTTGCTCAAAAATCTTATAGGTAACCCACTGTTAATAAAATAAAACACTATCTTGACATTAAGATGCTTCATAATTTGATCAAACCTACCATTTATAATTTACTCCCTCACATATCCCTAAGTTCAATAGCAGAAGTTCACTTCTTGCTAAATACAACACTGTGCTTCTCTATCTCTGGACTTTTGACCAAGTTATTTCTCTACCCAAGGTCCTCTGTGTTATTCTATACATAGAAGATCACTCCTATAAATCAGTGACCCCAAGAATAGTGACAATAATAAAACAGAACTCAATTTGAGTTGAGGACTCATTGTGTGCTGAGCCCAGTTCTAAGTGTTTTCCATATATTAACTCTTCTATCCTTCAAATAACCTTATTGCTGAGTACTACTGAAGTACATTATACCTTTGTTCTTTGACACTTCCTCCAATATTATTTGCTCCACCACCCACTATTCTTTACCTACCCAATTATTAGTCACCTTTCACTTTCTAAAGACATATCAGTCCTTCCCTTATCATACACACACACATGCTACACACAAATATGACAATCTCTACTGAGATTGTGTGTACTTGTCTTTCCTCCAGGAGACTGAATTTCTTCACAGCAAGTACCATGTCTGAGGCACTTCTGTTATCCCCACTTACTAGCACAAACATCAGATATCTGGGGGAAGAACACTCCTGCCTAATCCAAAGAAACCTCCTGTCCCTATCCCTTTCCTCTCCATATCAGATTAGTGATCCAACTGGTGAAATTCTTGGATCCTAAATGCACCATGCGTGCACATAAGTGGCGGCCCATTATATGGCCCTCTTCTCATCTCAGCATGCACACCATTAGCCTCCTACATCACACAGTCCACCAGAAGTGAGCCAACATACAGCATAGAGAACAAGAGACATCCTGAAAGGGATAGGTCACATGTGACCACTCAGTCTCACTAGGGCTCTTCTTAAGGAGAATCAGGCATAGCCTGACCAATAATAAACAAACATCTTGTTAACTACTTGCTGTTTTGTTATCATATGCATAGCTGCTTTGGGAAAACTCAAAATGAAGATAAAAATCAAAGATTTAGTCATTTCTATAATCCCTAGCCAAAAATAACTAATTGAACCTAAATTACTTAAACTTTATTTTTATTTCAAGTTTCAGTGAATAAAAAATGCAAAAGTGAATTAATAAATGAGTAAATGACCTAAGAAGTTAAGACTACAACAAAATGAAAACAAGCACATGTTTCTGTAAGGTTAACTTTGGTTCTGGAATCATGGCGGTCTTTTCATGGAAGAACCAGAGCTCTAGCTTGCACAGTGCTGGGACAACAATGGACCCGCATGGAAGCTGGCACCAGCCCGAGTTCCCCCACAAAGTGTGGCCCAGCTGTTCTCCATGTGTCTATACCTGAGAGCAGAAGCAGCATTTATGTGTAAGCCTTTTCTCCTTTTGGACTTTCCACTGGCAGGTGTAGCAGCCAGTAATGAAGGTTAGATAGCACTGGTAGTTGAAGATGTGTACAAGCCATGAATTATACTTTTTCTTTTTTCTTGACCTCTTGCTCCTGCGCTCAGTCCTCCTGACCTCATGCATAGTTCACCCTTTCGCTGGAAGGACAAATAAAATAGTGTTCATGCCCCTATTCTACAAAAATGCCATCAAAGAGTTTTTTTTTTAAGGCTAATAATCTAAAAGAATGCACTGAATTCAGTAAAAAAGAGTACAGCTTCATCCTATTTTCTCGCTAACCTGTCAACGTTTACTGCTTGTCACTGCGCCATTAAATTAGGCTTAGACTTCTCACCTCTAAAATGGTAACATTCTCTGTTGTAAACAACTAAACGATGCTGGGAGCATCAAATTCAGTAATAAACGCAAGTGTGTTTTAAAGCCATAATGTACTCTTGAAATAAGATAAGAACTAAAAGGCATGGGTGAAAAGGCATTGTGTATGAGAAATACAATCTTTGACTAAAGAGTTTCTCAAATAACGAATTGCCCCTTCCTGTTTTTTTCCCCTTTCCCATAAGGAATCAATTAGGTTGATAGAATGAATATTCAAATTAGCAAAGACTGAAATAAGCCAGGTTTGTTGTTTTTTCTTTTGCCCACAAAAGTATTTCAAAGGTAGAAACAACAAATCATGTGGTATGTGACTTCCCGATGTCATTAAGAACCTAGACATGGCCCTCCCTGGTGTCGCAGCGGGTTAAAGCACTGCACTAAGAAGCTAAAGCCACTTTCGCATGAGTTCCATTCCCGCCTGCCCCGGAGGTGACCACATGGTGTGGCAGACCTCTCCTGACCCGCCCGCTGCTCCCCTCAGCAGTGTACTTCATTGATCTGCCTGTTCTGCTCCCCAATCTGTCTCTGGTGAAGCCTCTCGCTGCCCCTGAGCCTCTGGCCTGTACCCCAGTTCTGTATGCACAAATAAATAAATCTTTAAAAATAAATAAAAAATAAATAAAAATAAAAAAACCTAGACATGTTCCATTTTGTTGTTGTACTACAGCACAGGGCTTTCTTCTCAGGGGGTCTGAAATGGCCTCTCTATTCATCACTCCAAATTCCAGTCCGCAAGAAGGGGAAGGAACAAAGGTTGTGCTCCCTTATTTTTTTTTTTTTAAAGATTTATTTATTTATTTGTGCATACAGAACTGGGGTACTGGCCAGAGGCTCAGGGGCGGTGAGAGGCTTCACCAGAGACAGAGTGGGGAGCAGAACAGGCAGATTGACAAAGTACACTGCTGAGGGAAGCAGCGGGCGGGTCAGGAGAGGTCTGGCTCGTCATGTGGTCTCCTCCTGGGCAGGAGGCAGGCGGGAATCGAACTCATGCGGAAGTGGCTTCAGATTCTCAGTGCTGTGCTTTAACCCGCTGCGCCACCAGGGAGGGCCCGTGTGCTCCCTTATTTTAAGGTCACTTACAGAAGCTGAATGTGACATTTGACTAACAGATAAGTTTTTTTTTTTTTTAACTTAAAAAATAGATATTGAGGGACACCATTTTCTCACTAAACCCTTGACTTTCCAACCAAAACCTACTCCCAAGTCTGTTCCACCTCAGTCAACGATAATTCTGTTCACCTGCCCATGTGACTCTGGACACAAAATACCTTCAGAGTTTGAATAAAAGGGAGCAATGAGCTGTGACCACAGGGAAGAAGGAAACAAACAAGCAGAGTCCTTGGTGAACCTCCAGGCACGTCCAGATCAGCCCACGCAGGGCAGCACAGCCTGGACACCCAGCCACGCTCCAGGCAAGCCTCGAAGCTGCAGGGCTCAGTGTCCCTGAACCCGAAAAGGGCCAATATGGGTGGAAGCCCTGGGGTCTTTGGCTTCACGCCACCCCCCACCTTGAACAGTGGGAAGGAATAACGGTAGCTCCGGGTTCACCAAGGAAGTGAGCTAACCCAGAAGAAGCGCACAATTCATAATACTAATGGAACTTCCCATTGTTTCTAGAGATGCAAAAGGAGAAAGCACAAAGCTGGACATATTACTTACAGGACTCACAGCCCCAAACCCAAACGCGGATTTCTCGCTTGAGAAGACCAGCGTCTCTCAAGATGGCAGCCCTGCTCAAACAGGCGGTGGCTGGCGTGTGGTGGGCGTGGCCAGGGGCGTGGCCACCGGTACAACCTCTCTGGGCCTCGCCAGAAGGCTTGCCTCTCAACCTTGGTTCCGAGCGCCTCATTTTAAAAGTACCGTTTATGTCCCAAACTATGAAGGTACTATCTATGTAAAGAAAGAAAATATTATCTAGGTTGAGCCAGTGATGTGCTGGAGTCTGCTGTTCCAGTTCAGGAGAGCCAGTTCTTAAACTTCCAGAAATCATATGAGCTGGGTGTCAAACATCCATTATTAAAAATCACACTATATAAACTCTCAATTAAAGCAAAGATTATAGGTTAAAAAAATAAATGTATCTTTTTTTTTTTTTAAAGATTTATTTATTCATACAGAACTGGGGTACAGGCCGAAGATGTGGAGGGTGAGAGGATTCACCAGAGACAGAGTGGGGAGCAGAATAGGCAGATCGATGAAGTACACTGCTGAGGGGAGCAGCGGGCGGGTCAGGAGAGGTCTGCCACGCCATGTGGATCTCCTCCGGGGCAGGCGGGGATCGAACTCATGCGGAAGTGGCATTAGCTTCTTAGTGTAGAGCTTTAAACCGCTGCGCCACCAGGGAGGGCCAAATGTATCTTTTAAAGTATGTTCTCTTTGGGTTTTGGTTTTGGTTTTTTGAGGGTTTTTTGTTTGTTTTGGTGTTTATAACAATAGCTTAAACCTAAATTGATTTCTTGTTAATCATTTAGTTCAGGCATTCACTATTTTTTATAGTGAATTACCTCAATTTTAAAATTAGTTTTCTTTTTTCTTTCTTTCTTTTTCTTTCTTTCTTTCTTTTTTTTTTTTTTTTAGCTTCTCTCAAACTCTGGGCCTGTTTTAGTTTTGGTTTGATTCCTCTAGCTATTTCTCTGGCTCTGACCTCATTTCTGAGCTCTAAACTCTTCCACACCAATACCTGCTAATCATTTTCACCTGGCTAGCCTACTCTTAATACCTCAAACACAGTAAATCCTAATTTGACTTCATTATTTTCCCCTTTAGATTTGCTCCATCTCCTCGGGCACCAGTGACATGATCTGAAATCAGTTTTTTCCTTTCTTTTGTGCAACCCACCCCCCCTGAATTTTGCTTATAATTCTTCTTGCATCTGATGCACCAGGTCCCTAGTCATCTTAGCTAGTATCAACTCCTCAATGCTGCTGTGGTAAGTTAAGATAGTTATTGCAATGGACTCCTTAAGATCGCAGTATTTCCAGCTTACATTTGTGAAAATCTACCTCTCAAAGAGCAGAAATTGAATATTTCAAATGCAAATCCAACAATGTTTAAACTCATTTCTAAAGTATAAGTTCCATAAATTGGATCCAGCTTTCCTCTCTAGCTTCAATTTTCTCCTATTCCCTGTCTCCATTTATATAGAAACCAACCCCTTAAACTGCTGCCCTATACCATCATTTATCTTTATTCATGCTTTCTTTACTGCTGGGATTACACACTTCCTATTCCCAACTTTTACATGGTTAATTCCTCACCACCACTCCTGGTTAAGTACTTCTTTCTCTTGTCCCAAATGTCTCTTCAAATAAACGTCTTCACTACATCAATTATAATTACCTATTTTGTTTTGATGAGGCTTTAATTTCTACTTCTCCCCTCTAATTATAATCTATTTGAGGATAAGGCCATAACTAATTCAACGCTTGCTCACAGTGCTAACTACAATGCTTGGCAATGTTGTACAAAGCACTGTTGTTCAAAGTTTATAGTCATAGCTACAGACTCATCAGCCCTTAAACTTCATAAGGAAGTTAGACTGTATTTTTTTCCTGAGGTTACTGAATTCCCTGGAGTATATATCCCTTTATGTAACTATTGATAGTTGGAAGGATTTTACTCTAACCCCAGAGAGATAACAGTAGCTTGGATGTAGGGAATGATATTGTAAAAGAAGAAAAGTAGATTGGTGATAGAACTGCAAACTAAATTAATGAAAAACTGATAGAAATGAAAGGAGAAGTAAGCAAACCTACAATAATAGTTCAAGTTCTCAACATCCATCTTTCAACAATAGGCCAATGAGACTGAAAATCAGCACATGTTCAGAAGAATTCAACTTCAACCAACAGGATGTAATTGTATTTATAGAACATTCTATGGAACAACTTCAGGCCTTAAGCAAACATCAGCTAATTAAAAAAAATTTAAATCCTAGAGTATTTCCTGGAATCAAACCAGAAATCAAGTCAGAATGATAACAAATATTTGGAAACTAAACACACTTCTAAGTAATATGTGGATCAAAGTGCAAGTCTTCAAAATTTTAAAAGTGCAAGTCTTCTAAATTTTACAAATACATGGAACTGAATGGAAGTGAAAATATAACATAAAATTTGTGGGATATACCTAAGCTTGTACTGAACAGGAACTTTATGGCATTAAATACATAAATTAGAAGGAGGACATCTCAATCAATATAAGTTCATACCCTAACCTAGATAAAGAAAAGCAAAGTGAAGAAAGGAAACTATAAGAAAAGCAAAGAGGTTAGGAGCTGAGGGAAGTGGGAATGGCTATAAAAGGCAACAGTGATAATGGAAGTGTTATTCACATTTTCTGTATGAATATCAATGTTATGCTGCTGTCTTATACTATAGTTTTGCAAGGTGTTGCCGTTGGAGGAAACTGGATAAGGGTATGTGGGCTATTTATATATTACTTTTTAGATTGCATGTGAGTTTACAGTGATCTCAAACTAAAAGGTTTTAATTTCTTTTTTGCTTGCATATTTAAAAAAAATTTTTTAAGAGATGTGACGTTGGCTTACATTATTGTTGGTATTTTAATTTTAAAAAGATAAGCAATACGACCCTCCCTGGTGGTACATTAGGTTAAAGTGCAGTACTACGAAGCGAGCCACAGCCAATGCAGCACAAGTTCGATCCCCAGCCCCGGAGGTGACTCACATGGCACAGCAGACCTCTCCTGTCCCGAATCCTCTCCTGCCTCCATACCTCTGGCCTGTA